TAGACAAAAAAAGGAAATTAGAGACTGCTATAATTTCTTACGAAACTGTTGCAAACTTAGTTTAGTTCTGAAGTGTATTTCTGTGAAAAGTATTAATATGATTTATAAATATTTCAAATGTATTATCTACAACACTTAGTTGAGCCTTTTAGGAATTATTAAAGAGAAATGAAACTACATAACTAAATTAGAAATGAAGTTTATAATTTACATCTTAAAGAAGTGGGCACTTTCACTTATATGTTATGGCCTTACTTAGAAGACAAATCTTAGGCTTAAAGTGAAAAAAAACTGTCTTGAACATAAGAAAAACTACAGAAGAAACTTGATATCTTACGTAAGTCACATATTACTTTTAATTACAGATACTAATACAAATTATGACTACATAGTTTTATCTCCAAATGTTATATATCTATCCAATCATGAAATAACTGAGGGCCAGTTAAAGTTATTAAGCAGATAATTAAATTTTCTATAAATATTTTCCTAACATTACACAGAATTTAATCTTGATTATTGAATTTAACTTAAATAAACTTTCCCTCTCATCTAAAACTAAAAATGAAATCCATCTGGATTAAAACCTTATCATCAACAATTATACTAACAGTAAATGTAATATTATGAAAGATCGAATGCTTGACATTAAGGCTCTCAGATACAAGAAAGACATTGTCATAGGCAAAGCTGACAAAGGTAACTAAATTACCATCATAAATAAAAGCCATTCTAATGAAGGGATTAATAATTTGTTAAGATATGGTCCATATTAATTGTTAAATAAGAACCCCACTAACACTTATAAGAAAAAAGTTAGGAACACTTTGAAATAAGGCATTACTCTAACCCCTAACCAAACTTCTAAATCACTGCTATAAATTTTGTTCTTCAAGAGTTTCATGCACTAAATAAAATATATCAATACAATATCTCTTATTGCCTCATTGTTTTTGGTATAAATACATTCGTCTCATTGTGATATTTATAGCTGATAAATCTTATTCCTTACCCACACAACATAAATGTTGCATGAAATATTCAACAAACTTTATTAATCATATCCCTTCTTTAAACTATTTAACTATTATATCAATATTCACTTCCTTGTAAATGAGACCATTAGCTGTTTTGAAGACAGATTAATTTGGAATAACATTTCTCCATTTGAAATTAGAAATATCACAAACTTTACAGAAATTGTATTATGTCCCCCTTTTATCAAGTAAATAAGAAATTATATTCTCAAATTCAAGGATTGCCTATAAGATCTCCTCTTTCCCCATTACACTGCAACATTTTCATGGATATTTTTGAAACCACTATTCTTTCCCAACAATCACTAAAACCAAAAATTTGGTTCAGATATACGAGTGATAGATTTGTAGTGTTGAGTCATGGTAATATTAAGTTAAAAGAATTTTTACACCAACTAAACAATTCACATGATAACATTAAATTTACAATTGAAAATATACAAAATAACCCAGCTAAATTTTGCAAGATGTTTCAGCATCTAGAAAGTTAACATTTTCTTAAGTGGAAAATGTATTTCCAATAATACTTACCTCTGCTGTCATCGATAACTATTACTCGACCTCCAAGATTTCTTCTTTGTCCATCTAAGCATTGGTCTGATTTTGTCTTGCTTGCTCTAGTCTTTTATACTCCCACTTAAATGCCCTTGGTAATATTTGTTTGGCGACACACTCCACTTACGTCAATGTGCCCTCTATCTTAGTACTGTATACGAGCACCTCATTCAGATAAGGTAATCACTTTTTAAAGACTGACACCATCCCAGTCTCCAACACCGGCTCTTGGTGGGGAGGAAGGGCGAGAGTTTCAGTGGAAGTAAGTATTTTTGGAAATACATTTCCAATTTAGGACATACTTACTTCTGCTGACACGGATAGCTAGAATCCCACACTGAGAAGATATAGGGGCCAGTGAGGGTATTATTCATATGAAAACATCTGCTTAGATCATGGGTGTACCAAGATAAGATTGGTACCCAAGTAGGGGGAAATGCACTACATCAAGAACAAGTATGCTCTTTACCCTGAACTTAGTTCCTGTATAAAGAGTGGAATTGTACATGAGTGATCATCACAATAGGCCAGCCTCAACCAGATAACTGAGGTTCCACTACTTGGGGTTGGAATTATGGGGTCTTGGTCTCTATATCCCACATTAGTGGCAAGGACAATTGGACTGCAATGTTACATAAATAGATTATAGAATGAATCCCAACCTGTAGCCATAGAGTGATATTTTGTGAACCACCAGAATCATGATGAAAAAGTAAGCAACACTGAAGTGGACAAACCTTCTCCTCCACCTGAAAAAGCCTGAAAGGCAACACCCCAAGCTCAGAATGATGGGATCATGTATGCCTTACTCAACCAAAGGAACAAAACTCATCCCATCTGAAATTAAGAACATGCCTAACTTAAATATG